ACAGTGTAAAACCAAGAGACTGATCTGAAAGGCACTAAAATGCTCTGTAAAAGTTTTAAAAAGTCAGCTCAGGTGGGTCCATCAATATCCAGAGTGACATCTGTCATATTAAACACTATCATCAGCCTCAGGCTGGGTATTGTCCCCACTGCCCTTAAGCACGCTGTAGTGAGACCATTTCTCAAGAAGCCTAACCTTGACCCCACACCCTCTTCTAATTTTTGCCCAATTTCACATTTGCCTTTTTTATCCAAGGTTATGGAGAAAACTGTCCTCACACAATTACAGTCTCATCTTGAACTTTATGCTGTTGTTGATAAATTTCAATCAGGCTTTAGGTCCCAGCACAGCACTGAATCCGCGCTATTGAAGGTACACAATGATATTCTTACAGCCCTTGATGCAAAGAGTCCTGTTGTTCTAGTGCTTCTAGATCTCACAGCAGCCTTTGACACCATGGACCATACAGTTCTCATTTCCCGCCTTGAACATTGCGTCGGCTTGCGTGGTGCTTTGCTCAAATGGTTTATTTCTTTTCTGACCAATAGGACCTTTTCAGTTATGATCAACAATTCTACCACTGCAGTAGCCCCTCTTTCCTTGGGTGTTCCCCAAGGCTCAATCCTGGTGCCTATTCTTTTCTCACTACATATGCTACCATTAGGTTCAATAATTTCTAAGCATAACATACACTTTTATTTTTATGCTGATAATCTGCAGATCTACTTACCGCTGATGCAGAGTGATGCCAATGCACTAGCCCCCTTGCACAGGTGTTTGGGTGATATTAAACAGTGGCTCGCACAGAACTTTCTTCATTTGAATGAGGGGAAGACTGAATATATCGCATTTAGCCCGGACCCCACTCACATCGCACCCGGCCTAGGAGCTTCAGCCCCTTTATTCACACAAACTGTGAAAAAACTAGGAGTGTTATTTGATAGCAGCCTCAAATTTGACAAGCAGATTAGTTCTGTGGTCAAAATAAGCTTCTTTCAACTGAGGCTCCTAGCAAAGGTGAAGCCCTTTTTATCTCGAGTCGACCTAGAAAAAGTCATTCATGCTTTCATTAGCTCACGACTTGACTACTGCAATGCCCTCTACACTGAAATTAGTCAGTCTTTCCTCCGTAGGCTCCAGCTAGTACAGAATGCTGCTGCTCGCCTACTGTCAAATACCCCAAAATATGCTCACATCACCCATGTCCTCCAGTCTTCACTGGCTTCCGGTACAGTTTAGAATTGATTTTAAAATTTTGCTGTTCGCATTCAAGGCCATTAATGGCCTTGCTCCAGCCTATTTGTCTGATCTTTTAACTATTTATACCCCGGTCAGAGCGCTGCGTTCTTCTGAGCACTTGTCTCTGGTTGCCCCATGGGCAAGGTAAAAAAAGGTGGGGTGATCGTTCTTTTGCCGTATATGCCCCCAAGTTCTGGAATACCCTGCCTTCTGAGCTTCGGCCTATAACGGAGTTGATGGTTTTTAAGTCTAAATTAAAGGCACACCTACTCAGACTGGCTTTTGGCACTTAATTTTTAGCAGTGGTCCTATACTGGTGCCTACAGGCTTTGTGATTTTATATTCTGTAATGTTATTTTGTTTTGTATTTTGACTCATTTTTATTGCACAGGAGTGTTATAGTTGCTCACAAACCATTGTTTTAAATTTGTGTAATTTTAACTTTTCTTTTGTTGTTTATGTGTCTTAACATGTTCTGCTTTTCTTTCTATGTGCTCTGTTGTGAAGCACTTTGAGCTCCCTTTGGTGTTGTAAAGCGTTATATAAACAAATAAATTATTATTAATTATTATTATCATTTGACTCATTGTAAACAAGAAAAGCACAGCTTTAACTTTAACTTTCAAGTGATTTTATTAACTAATCTCAACTCAATGGCAAAATGATCAGCTCTCAGCACAAAACATTACTAAAGCCAGTCAGCTCTTCAAGACTCCTGTCACAATGTGGCATGCCTCATCACTGTGTTCAGTATAAAAAAGCCACTGTGTGTCTTTGCTTTAACCTCAGACAAATCTCAAAACTGGCTGTGCTTCATTTACCTTGGGCGTAAAGAGAGTGCATACAAGCAGGCTTTCAAATCTTTGGCCAGTTATTTTTCTCACAGCAAATGTCAGATTACACTCAAGTAAATCTGCCTGTCACTGGCTGGGTTGTTCTATTAAAAGCACTTGTGTGCCGGGGGTGTTCAGACCAATAAGGGCTCACCACTGATTTGCATTAGCTTCTAGAGAACATTTTGCTTGATGATAAAATTAGAGCTTGTCATCTACTGTAGGATATATGTAAACTTGGTAAGATATGACTAGGCTGAATGATGTCTGCTGGATGTGTGGGCTGAATTTCTTGTTTGGGAGTAGTGTCGGGCAAAGACATGAATTAATTACTGTCAAATTATATGCAATTTTGTGCTGCATTTGGTTAGCTATTACACTGCGGAAAAAAAAGCGTTCCCTAAAGCTGTTTTGATATTTTGAACCAGAAAGTTTGACAAAGCAGTGATGATAAGATTGTGTTAAGGCGTTGGAGTTGCTGGGAGTAACTTGTCATTTCTGGGTCTGACTGAACAGAATCAATATGGGCTACCGTGTGTTTGTAAACCTTCTGGGTATTTGCCATAGATTACCACATCCAACCAGTCACCCTCATCACCTGACAAACCCTGTGGTGCAGTTGTACAGTACTTTAGCGTTGTTTTAATCTGGGCCTGATGCCCAGGATGCCAAAGCACTTTGTTCTTTTCAGCTTTAACTACTCAGTGCTACAGATTGAGCGAATGTCTCTTATCACTCCGCCCGCCTTTAGCCATTTATGTAATCAGTTTAATCAGGGATTTATTTTGCATTGTAGAAAGAAGCTTCTCTCCCAGGGCTGTTCCTCCCTCCACTAAAACATTTCTCTTGAGTGGGATTTACAAGTATTGTAGCAAGGACACACTGACTAGTCTTGTTGAATAATGCACTTTCTCACTTACTTGAATCATGACATGTGGAGACAATACTGCTGCACAGCGTGACAGCAGATGTAGGAACCATTATCTCCTAAGCAGTTTTCAGCAGCTTTCTTAGTTTAAAACTAATTATATCTCTTTCCTGTAGTGCTCAGAGTGTGCAGATAGTTTTGTTTTTCTTTACGTAAGTTTTTATATGTTCATATCTGAGAGTTTTGCTGCCAACAGTGGCACTGAAGGGAATTTTGTTTACTTTGTTTTTCCAGAATCTGTTCTCTGGTTACTCTACTCTGGTTACTCTAGTAGAAGATAGTCAATCACAGCTGTTGTCAGTCAATTCTGTGATTATCCAAATAAAAAAAAGTGTAAACAGAACTAATACTGTGCCATGTTCTGTGGATTAACCAATTCCATTGCTTCTGATGTATTTGCATTTATTTTAAGATCTCAAAAGCTAGGTCATCTTTGTCTTCTATGAATTACATTTATACACAGTACAACTGCTATGCATTAGCAAAAAATGTTGTGGAAAAAGACATGCTGCCATGATTGTTTAAAATGCTTTTTGGCATTTTGCCTGATAGTTAACAGTAGGAATGGACATGGGGAGAGAGCTGAGAAGATGACATGTAACAAAAGGCTGGAATCAAACCAGGTAAGTTGTGATAACATGAAATTCACCTTAAACCACAGGAAACAGGGTGGATTATGCTTTGGCAACATAATGAAGTAACATTTGTGTATTTAGCCTATCTAAGAAAGTCACTTTTGGCTTTTCCCGTTTAGGGGTCGCCACAGCGAATCGTCACACTGACGACTCGCATGTTGACATTTGGCAGGTGTTTTACGCCGGATGCCCCTCCCGACTCAACCCTGACATGAACCTGGGCCACAGCAGCGAGAGTGCTATGCCTTAACCAATAGCCTACTAGGGACGGCTTGTGTATTTAACTTATCTACACTGCAAAAAAGGCACTGTCAACGTATCTCATATTACATTATCTACTCCAGGTAAATTGTGCATGATTAACATATTAACATGTTATTGTTATGTTTAGGAAGGTCTGTTGAGAAATACATGGTTAAATAAATATAATAATATAGTTTGATGGGCATGGCTTGTTTGCTTTCTTGCCAAGACCTGGTGAGTGGGTAGTGCTGATCTTCTCATCTACTGCAAGAAAAAGCTCATGGTATCAATCTTCTCATTAAAAAAAGAAAATGGCAGGATAACACTTAACTTTTTCAGTATTTAACCAGTTTTGGAACGTGGGACTTAGATTTCCTGCACCAACAAACAGCTTGCAGGCATATAGGGTTTCCCGGTCAAATATAACCAAAACTCTGCCTGGCTAGATAATTCCAAAGATAAGTGAGAGAAATGCCATAAAGAAAAGGGTTTTGTCATTTGGGTGAACTGATCCTTTAACATTCATGGTCGTTGACAGACAAGGATAGGAACAAGTAGGTGTAGAAGGGGTCAAAACTGAAACATGGGAGTGTTATGGGAGAGTCTGGGTACCCTTCATCCTGAAGTGGATCTTGTGTGGGCTTCAAAGTCCTTCTAGCTCTGATGAGTGACATTTACTGAACTGAAAGCTCTTAGAGCTACCAGCTTCAAGGGAGGGAAGGTGGGAGGATGTGAACTGATTTTCAGTGCTAACAGGAAATGGTAGTGAACATGTGCGAAATGTAGAAATCTGGACATGCAGCTGCACAGAGTGCACAGTACACAAACACCCATAAAACTAGCTGGATAAAATGTAGAGAGCACTATTGTATGAAGCTTGTATTTCTCTCCTGCTGTAGATTCATAACTGTTGCCAGTATAAGACCACACGCAGACATGAGATCACCTCATCAACAGTGCGTTCCCTCATTTACAAGTAAGCTTCCAGTCAAAGGTGCAGATAATAACCAGCCTTGTGAACCATTAAGAATTACAAAGACTCACATAATTCCTGGAGCACTATATCCACAGCACAATTAGGCTACTTAACTATCAGTCAATAAATGAATATGGATCCTTTACCTTAGGTTCGATGAGTGCGAGCTCTGCTGAATACTTTCTTTCCTTCTTTTCTATCACTACCTATCCCCAGTTTGCGTTTTGGCAGACACAGTCTCCGTCTAGCCAATGCTGTTGTGTATTTGTATGAATCTGTACAGCTCAGGACTAAAGATATCTAGGGGTTTGTGATGCCAGCGAGTGGGAGCGAAGCAGCATGCTCATTGGTGTGAAATCGCGGGGAGAGAGAGCATCTGAGGTGGATAGAGGGAGAGGCAAAGGGGGTGGAATCAGAGCGACACACAGGGAAATCTCCAAGGACAACCTGAGCACATCTGCTCTGTTCAGTGATGCTGTGGTTGAAGAGATGGTAAATGTGTTGACCATTGGGGGAGCTGGGATATAGCTGCTGAAGGCTCAGGTTTCAGTCCTGGAGAGAGAGTTTACTTCAAACCCTGGCTATTTTAAGAAGACTCAGGCTGTTAATTGCTCATTATTTTCTGACTTAACTATTCATATAAATGTTAACTGACAGGTTGATGACTAGCAATTATAAGGCAATACAAAGTGTTTCACACATTACAGTATAGTGCTATTCTCTGAAAGCTCATGCCACAGGAGCTCACATTTTGATTGATTTGATTTGATTTGATTTATTCATTCAAGCATGTAAAACAGTTGATATGTCAACACATGTAATTTCACACATATCCAACAATAATAATCCTATATCAATTTACTTATACCTAGTACATGCTTGAACGGAGTAGGAAGAAGTTAGACTTATCCAGTCCTACCCCATGACATCATCTTACAACTTTTAAATCCTAAGCAATATCTCTACATAAATAATTATACTCTACAACACACAAGTAATATACTACAGAATTATTACAGAGTGTTAACATTCTACATAATTACATTCATAGTTAAATATCTTCTACGCTACACAAGTAATATACTAAAGAATTATTACAGTGTTAACATTCTACATAATTACATTCATAGTTAAATATCTTCTACGCTACACAAGTAATATACTAAAGAATTATTACAGTGTTAACATTCTACATAATTACATTCATAGTTAAATATCTTCTACGCTACACAAGTAATATACTAAAGAATTATTACAGTGTTAACATTCTACATAATTACATTCATAGTTAAATATCTTCTACGCTACACAAGTAATATACTAAAGAATTATTACAGTGTTAACATTCTACATAATTACATTCATAGTTAAATATCTTCTACGCTACACAAGTAATATACTAAAGAATTATTACAGTGTTAACATTCTACATAATTACATTCATAGTTAAATATCTTCTACGCTACACAAGTAATATACAGTGAGCTTTTGTATGTATTTCCCCAGTTTTCAACGCCATACTCTAAGTATGGTAAAATCAATGAGGAATACAAAATGCGTAGTGCTTTCCCATCCAGAATATATTTAACCCTTGCCAATATCGATATATTTTTTGCTATTTTATTCTGAGCATATCTGATATGAGATTTCCAGGAGAATTTGTCATCAACTATGACACCTAGAAATTAAATTTTATGTACTCGTTCGATATTAGCTCCCCCAATTTTCAATTGAAGTTCATTGTCTAGTCTGCGATTCCCAAATACCATAAATTTAGTTTTATCCAAATTCAGAGATAGTATATTACTATCACACCATTTCTTTATCTTCTCAAGTTCCTGTGTAACCCATCCAGACAGCACTGCAAACATGCACCATAGTAAAGTATTGTATATACTGGACCCAGTGAGCTGCACAGCACACTGCACACAGACATGAAAGCAGTTTTCTGTGAGGCACAGTCTTCATGTTGTCACTGTAAAGACTTTCACTTTAAACATCCACTGGGTCACTACAGTGTGCATCTTGCACATAATGATGTTATGCGACAAAGCAGCTACACTGTACACATGTAAAATGGCACAGAGTAACATTTAGATACTGCCTGGTAGTCAGCAGCATGCAAATCAGCTCTGTCACAGTGTCTTTCATTTGTTCCAATGTTAGGGTAGATACAGTAAATATTGCATATGCACTCAGGAATTGCAATTGCACCTTTATTTGTTTGTCCTAAAAAGCATATGGAAAACAGCATATGACAAGCTTTAGCGCTTATAGAAGGACAAGACAGAAAGATTTATCTTTGTGCAATCTGAAGAGGAAGACATGATCTGCAAGGAGCTGAGAGTGTGGAGGAGGCAGCCTGGCAGAGGACAGATAATTCTTGCTACTGAATAGACATCCAAGTGTTACATAAAATCACACACACGGACACACACAAAACCATGCAAAAGCACTGCCTACACACACATGTTCTAGGTCTTTGTCTTTCTGTCTCTCTCTCCTTCTCAGCTTCAGACACACATTTGCAGAGTTGTAGGGTGGGGCGGCAAGAGTAAAATGATATACTGGCTCGAACAATTAATGGCATTATTCTATCTGGTAAGTACGTCTAAGACTGGATGACATACACTTTATAATAAGGAAACTATTTTAAATTAAATTAGAAAATGTGCTTTCAATCATGCCTATAGTCATGTGAAGCTCATAACTGATGCCAATACATTATGTATGTACTTGCACGTGCAGTTTGTATACTACCTATGGATTTGCATGCATATATGTGCACATGCTGGCATCTCAGTTTACATTTACAAGATTTATATGACAGCTTGTCTTAACATATCCACAGCAGTGGATAAGCAGTGTGCAAAAGTAATACAGTATCATAATATGGGAATAACTACTATATCACTAATAAAATAATTATACATTTGATAACACTTATGGCATTATAAATGGTATTAAAGATATATAACATTTAAATTCACAGAACCCTCTCTCTTCACAGTGTTTCCTTGATCTGGCATCGTACAAAAGACAATTTGTTATTGAAGGCAGTCATGGTGCTGCAGTCACTGGTATACACAAAAGGAATCTAAGTAGCTGTGTGAAGAATGAACAAAAGACAACTTCACATTTGGCCAATTGCTGTGCAAAGTGTGATCATCAGTTTAGGAAAGTTGTGAAAATTGCGGAAAGGAAAGGGGGTGGGGGTGTCAGACGCTGTTAGACAATTTGGAAAGCACTTTATTCAAAGCATACTGAAGCTATAACATGGATGTGAATCCAGATAAAGTGAAGTTTGTGTGCTTTCTATCATGCCATGTTGACACTGATTAAAGAAGATTATTGCAATATGTTTTTAGCTGCAGTAAAGATTGACTGGAGCACATTTGACATCAAGAATTCACATAAAAGGAGCTTTACAGGCAGATTAGATGATAAAAGCTACTGAAAGCAAACAATCTGAAAAGGAAAAGAAAACCTTTGGTGCACTTCTGATCAGGTGCAACACAGCTGCAGGAAAGCACAGGTTGCTAATTAAGTCTCTATTTCCAGGTGCACTTGGCAGTTTTGACAAATGGACCTCCTGAATCACCCACTGTGTGGTGTAAAAGAGAATGTACAATGTACAAAAAGCAAACGCCTGCTATCGTCAAACTCCACTGCTAAAAAAGAGAACTGTGCGCTCACATGAGCTCTTGAAATAACAGCGTGCACAGTACTTTTTTCTGCCTGCTAATGTCATCCAGCAATCACAAACTTCATGACCCCTAGACTATGCGTAATTCAAAACCCTTTTCAATTGCGAGGAAGCAGGCCCACACAGTTGACCAGGTATGTGTGACCTTCATGATGCTGCTGCTTGAGAGCTGCTTGTTTTGTAGGTTTCCCAGTCAGACGCCATCTCTGTCAATCTGCATGACTAATCAGAAATCCTCTCCCTGCAGCAAAAATGTTGCACATCCTTACCTCATCAAGTCTCATTGTCTGACTCACCGTCTGCTAGCCCTGTTTGGCATTTTACACATTTCAAATTTCCATCAAAGCTGAAAATGAAGCCTAAAAGGTACAAGAAAAATAATTTCTAGCTTCCTGTCTACAGTCCTTAGGCCTTCATCAGGCAAAAGGAAAAACAGCACTAAACAAAAAGCATCATATATAAAACACAGTTTAAGACAACATCACAGTCGTGTTTTATGCATTAGCACAGTATATAGAGTACCTGTTATTTCATTGTTTTATTGCTGTGACATATTAGATCATATTAGATAGTGATATGGAGACCTTTATCTTTATTATTATGGCTTACACAATGAAGACACTTTTTATGGTTTAAAGAACAGCTCAAATAGATTTAGGAATGTACACTAAGAGTAAACCTGTACATTCCAAAATTATCGTCCTCAGATCTTAATATATTCAGCTTGTTTGTCATTGTTGCTCCATCTGTCTCCATAATTATCTCAGGCTGTCAAATGTAACTTTATAGTCTCTATGTTGATCTTTCTACTCTTTGGTCACAATGCATTCTGCATTTGCATATTTAACCCCTCAGTGTGCACCACGATGTTTACAGTAGTCTAATCTCTACCTTAGTGAGACTCAGAAGTCTACGAATGGTGACATAAAATGACATATGATCGACACAGTCATTTAATCAGAGAGTTAAAGGTCATTAACATGGTTCAGTGGCTTTTAATCACTACAAAACCTCTGTGGTCCAGAGGGGTTGCATAATGTTGCTTATACCAGGAAATCCCAAGTGACAAGACTATCAACATGCTGGTCACCACCATATCAAATCAAATCAAATCACATTTTATTTGTATAGCGCCAAATCACAACAAAAGTCATCTCCGGACACTTTACAAAGTCAGATAACCTTACTGTTATCAATGTTATTACATAGGGAAAACCCAACAAATCCCCCTTGAGCAAGCACTTATACTATATGTACATATTTAGTTAGAATTGTTCAGGTTGAGGTGGGAAGCAGTGCAGTAGCACACTCAAATTTCCCTAATGACTTCATAAAGGTTCATAATGACACTCTGGTGTCATCATATTTACTGGAAGTCTTCCAAACCTATTGTGTTCCAGAGATGACTGAGCCTCCAATGTCATAAAAAACACTTGTTGACCATGACAGGTTTCTGTTATCACAGTTGCAGTTGCTGCAGTTTAAGGATGTCATTAAAAAGGTTGCTTGATGCTGCTTATACCAGCAAATCTTTAATGGAAATTCCCAGTTAGCAAGACTGTCAACATGCTGGTCACCATTATAAACATTTAGTGAGAATT